TACCTGTTTAATATGAAAGAACCAAATTCCAGATTGCTAAGATGGCGACTAAAACTGGAAGAGTTTGATTACACAGTTCATTATACGAAAGGCAAACTGAACACCAACGCTGATGCCCTGTCACGCATCGAACTAAATATGATAGATAAAGAGTCACTTTTCGGAAATCCTGGAGATATTAATGAAGACATCGATAAATACATACATGACGAAGATCAAAATATAAGTCTTGAACAATTGGAACAAATTGAAGACGTGTTTAACCCTCTAGAAAATGTAAACACTCCAAAAATTAATATTATCTCGGACATTCAAATTAAACCGCCAAATATTCCTAATACTGGTGAAACAGTACACTCAGCAGCTGAAGATCCAATATTAAATATACCAATTACCGAAAATAGTTATTAATACTTATTCTAAATAAATAATATTTAGCCAAAAAACAAACGGTCGTTATCACGTGATTAGGAGTTACCCATTTCAAAATAAATCTAGATTTTCTGTTTATTTAAGTCAGAACTATCAAAATGAAATAATTAAATTCTTTTTAGATTATTTGGATCCAATAAAAATGTACTGCCTTTATGTACAAAACACCGAAGTAGATTTAAATCGAGAACTATCTGTTTTGTTACCAAATACATTTAAAAACCATGCTTATAAATTGGTAATATCGAAAACTCTTTTAACTGACGTCACTGACAGGACAAAACAAAAAGACCTAATTGCATATCATCATGAAAAAACCTGTCATCGTGGAATTAATGAAATCCTAATAGCATTAAAAAGGCTCTATTATTGGCCAAATATGAAAACTGACCTAACTGAATATATTAATAATTGTGACACGTGCCAACAAACAAAATATGATAGACATCCGCCAAAATTAAAGTTTATGTTGACACCGACACCTTCTGAACCATTAGAATCCATCCATATGGATACTTTTCAAATATGTAACGTAAAATTTCTTACAATTATAGACGTATTTTCACGGTACGCCCAAGCTTATCCGTTAGAACCCGCTTGCACAGCAATTGCTATCTTAGACGGTTTAGCGACCTTTATAAGTCATCACGGCCTACCTAAACAAATAACGTGTGATAATGGAACGGAATTTAAAACTTCTTTGCTTTTAGATTTCTGCATAATTGCATAAAATTGCAATTCATTTTACAACTCCTGGCAATTCTAATAGTAATAGTCCAATAGAGAGATTTCACTCTACTCTTGTTGAACTATATAGGGTACTAAAATTAAAAGAACCAAAAGAAGCCCCTAAAAATTTAATAAAATACGCAATTATAGGTTACAATTCATCAATGCATAGCGTAACAAAACAAAACCTTTTGACGTTATTAATGGAAAAGTAAACGGTTTAGATCCCTTTGATTTAACGGATGAAATCATTGTAAATAATTATATCGCAGATAGACGTGAAAGACTAAAAACTATCTATCAACAAATCTACGAAACATCGTTAGAAACAAAAATACGTTTAAATGAAAAACAAAACGAAAAACGAGAAAATCCACCTGAAATGAAACAAAATACAAAGGTTTACGTTACTGACAAAACAGCAAAACGTAGTAAGGACAAACCCCGAAGAAAACCTGTTATTATAGATCAAGATATTGGAAATAAAATTATCACAAAAAATAAAAAAATAATTCATAAATCTCAGATCCAAAAACCTAAAGCTTTTTCTTCTTCGCAGGTTAATGAACCGGACAACGCTGTTCCTTCTTGCAGCTAAGCTGTTATTAGTGATAGCGAATAATGATATTGAAGTTATCCCAATTAAAACACCACTTCTCCCCTTCCGCTTACGAAATGCTCGAATAATTCAACATCAACAACGCTTACGCTGTAATCTCAAAATCATTAAACTATACAAATAAACATAATTATCAGAATGTCCACTATATTAATGGAAATAATTTACTTAATAATGTTCGATATTTAATTACACAAGTAAAATTTAAACTTGGTAACATAAAACCTAATAACCGTACAAAAAGAGGTTTAATAAATGTTGTAGGTAAATTATCGAAATGGCTTTTTGGCACTCTCGATTCAGAGGATGGACAAAAATATGATAAAATTATCACAGAACTTGTGTGTAGTAAACATTCATCTGACATCCAACTAAAAAAGCAAACCTCGTTGATTCAACAGCTGATTGACAACTATAATGATACTATAACACTTCTACAGAAAAATCAAGAAGCTATTAAAAAACATATAGACATTTTTGAATATAATTCAAATAAAACTATTACTGACATAACTACTTTCATTAAAGCTCAAAATACACTAATGTAAATATTTCTAAATTGCCAAAGTTTTATAACTTTTTTGGATAATTTAGAAAATGCCATTACATTTGCGAAATTAAACACATTACATCCTGTAGTAATATCGGCGGCTGAATTAGAACAAATAATTTTTAAATTGACTATTCTCTATGGTGATAATCAAATTCTAATTTTTGAAAATCAAAATAATTATTATCATTTAGCAAAATTACAAGTTAAATTTACAAAAGATAAAATAATTTTTGCCGTCCATATTCCGATTTTTCTTAAAGAAATTTTCGAAATATTCCACTTGTTCCCAGTACCAGTGAATCACTCCTTAATTATAACTAATTTAGCCTACCTAATATTGGGCACTGACATGCAACAATATCAAGAATCAATCTGCCCAATCATTGAAGACACCTACATTTGCGAAAATCAACTTACCCAGCCCATCGGTGATTGTGTGACAACCCTCATTAAATATGCCGAGAACAAAAATTGCGACGTAGTCAATGTAAATGTTTCAACTCATATAATACGACCAATCACTAGTAGATTTGTTTTGATAATACCATCGGAACAGAAACTTAAATTACAAATAAATTGTCAAAAGAAAGAAATAGCTTTTATTGAAGAAGCCTGCCTAATCAATGTTCCATATAATTGCAGTATCAGTACCCAAAATACTGAGCTTTGGAATAAAGAAGAAATTTTTAAAGCAAACCCATTTTCACTGCCACTCATTAAAATTGAAAATATGGAATATCACGATGTGAAGTACCAGCCACTCCAACTACAATCGATTGATCTCAATACGATCAAAAAACTACGAGAAGCTGCGAAATCATCGATCCCCGACATTGGTTATGAAATTCATCCAGTCACTTGGAGTCTCGCCACTTCAACAGAAATGATGTTTATTTTAATCTTGTTAATAGTTATAGCATGGAAAATCTACAAGAGCCATTTGCTGCCAGATTCCAAGAAAACCAAGAACGACCAGTCTTCCGAAAACAACCCTTCGTCCCTGTTGTTTTCCACTTCGGAGGGAGGAATTATGTGATAGAATATGCTGATGAAATGCTAGCTTCAGTATTCCCAGTATCTGCGACGCAACGCTTGCATAAAAACTTTATATATATGACAACTTTGTACTTTGCGTTCAGTTCTCCTTATAACGGGTTAAATAAAACCTCGTTCTGTTTGTAAAACAAAAAAAAGTGTTTTTTTAAAACGAGATCCTTCGTTCGCAAACCTTAACTAATATGTTTGGTAAATTTTTTATGTCACTCGTTTCATTAAACACTCGCTCCGCTCGTGCCAAATAAACTCATGACTCAAATTCTGTTTACCACACTTGTTGCATAATAAATATTCGAAGATGTACAAGGTGTGCACGGTAAAGATACCCCTTTAGAACACATTTTGACATGATTGAACCCGGTCCATTTTATATCTTGTATTCTACAATGATGACGCCTAAATATTATTCCAAATTCCATTTCGTAACAGATCGAGTTTATTTTGCAAAAACTTGCCGTTTTCTGAAACATCTAATATATCCTCCGCGATTTGAACCTTGGTAATATTTTTCAATTTGGAGCATTTTGTTTCAAAAAGTATTACTTACGTTTGATTTGTGTTAAAATGTGTATATTTTGATTAAAGTAGTTTTTTAATCGAATGAATAAATTATCAAACATCGTTTGAACGTTATCAAACTTATATCATCTCCCTAGTTAAGTATTGTTTGGTCTGGTTCTTCTGAATCAAAAAACAGGTAATTTATTATGATCACAAATAAAAAGGGTCCCAAATAAAATGTATCTATTTTGCGAGAAATCTTAATATATATGGTATTGTTAGTGCCCTTAAGTAACTTTCTTGCATTGAATACTTCATCACGCTTCACATTATGCACAAAATTCACTATTACAGAGCGAGGTACATTCTCACCAGACCTGTGCAATTAAACATTCGCATATCAGATTTACTAAATTCTCCATTTTTATTATTATTATATTATTACTTTCATCCACTGAAGAGCATTACCGCTAATTCCGTATCTGTCTAGCTTAAGTAGAAACATATCTCTGTCTAGACAGTCATAGGCCCTGGCCCTATAACTATCTAAGACTTGGGTGATATTTTTAACACATCCGGAAAGAATTATTAATTAAGAAGCATAGTTTAATAATACTCGTTGGTACTTCCTTTATGCCGGTGCTATGTTTATTTTCCAATTTCAATGCTAGCTCACAAATTTCTTCAGGAATGACGGGATTAAGATATAATGACTAGGTGTTCGGTATTTTATTACGGTGATATGGATTTTGCATGCTTTTCATTTTATTGACAGATTTTATAATTCTGTCTTGATAAATTTTTGTTTGCGTTGATTGTAACTTTGCGTCTACTTAGAAAGAAGTTTATAAGTGTTCATTAATATTGACCAATCCTCATTTACATTATTTTTGTTGCATTCACGTATGTTTGCCCGTCTTGTTTTTTTTTTTAAAGTAAAATACAAAATCAGTCCATTCTTCTTGAAAAACGCTCTCCGAAACCTCTGATTGTTGCTTAAACAATGGCGATCCAAATCACCTGATTTTTCACTCTGTAGCTGAGTAAAGAAGTAATGTAGTATTTCCAGATCTACACGAAATAATTATAAATTATTGAATTCCATTGCAGTCAACTGGCGATGGAGACCAAGTTCCAGAGGGTCAGGACTGACGAAGATGACGTCATCGACGGTACTGGCGGATACGGAAGAAGGGAGTCGTGGCGAATATGGAAAAATGTCCTCGTTATTGGGTTCGCGTTCATGATTCATTTCACCGCGTTTTGGGGAGCCTCGAATCTACAAAGTTCGATTAACGCCGAAGCCGCCCTTGGAACGTTCACTTTAGCGGCTATTTATGGGTCGCTTATATTATCCAATATATTTCTTCCGGTAATTGTTATAAGGTTAGTATAGATACGATCGGATATTCTATACTCTTACTTAAGAACGGGGTCGTTCACGCTATCGGTCAGATGATATTGTGGTCAATATAGAAGGTTTCCAAAAAGATTTATCCTTGAGTTATGTTGGAGTATATCATGGTTATTTTTTACAATCACTTCCATATCGTACAGATTCTCTTAAAAGTGTTAAAATCATCCTGTACATTATAAAATTCTTTATATCTAGAAGTTGAATTAGAATTACTTTTATTTGAATAAGAGGGTATGGAAAAAGTCATGTCAAACGTAGCAGAAAGAATAACAATAATGATGCGAAACTACGCTGACTACTGGCGAGAGCAGCCCAATTGATCTATTCCACCAGAACATAAAATATTACAAATACTAAGAGATTGTCGAACTTTCATTATCTTTATTGTTTACACAACGTTTTGGGCAGATGTATTACTACCCGTTATCATGTACAGACTAATTTTAATTCTAAGCCTACGAGGCTTATATACTAAGCTGTAACGTTCAACCGTGATGGACTCAGGTGCCGTTAAGCTTGATGTTGTTCCGCTATAATGCGCTCTATTAAGGGTTGCCAGATTATAGGTATTTTCACACTTGGATTGCTAAAGATGTTTCCATTGCTTCCTTCAACTTGCGGTTTGTCCAATGTGATTCCCTGTGGAGAAACCGAGCTTTGGACAATTTGAATGTTATTTGGTCCATACACTTTACGCGATTCCTGACCTTTAAATTTCACCCCTCATTGTGTGTTTCCTATGTTCTTCAACACTAACGTTTAAAGGTCTCTTTATTTTTCCAATATATGTCTCTACTCATTCACACACGATATTTAGTAAATACACCCTTTCTCTTCAGTCGATGTTTCTGGCTTTGTTGTCGTAAGAATGCGCCTTAATCTCGTCCCGGACCTAAATTAAGTCTTAACTTTTGTATGTTTTTGCCATTCGACTGACCTCTTCTGAGATTACTTTTACGTATCGGATTGTCAAGATCATCGTTCTACTGTTGCTTTGCCTTTACATCAATGTTTTCTAATATTGTTATTGCTCTCTTGCAAATTGATTGGTTTCTAGTTTGGTTGCTTCAGAATCGTTAGACTCGAAGTTTAAATACTGCCCGGGTTGTGTAGGTTTCCTGCATACAGAGCTGCTGATAAAAAAATAGTCTGCACTTGATAACGGATAGTGATACACCTACTGCAATGTTGCAATGTGTGTAATCAAAAAATAAACACAATGCAAGTTTGACAATCTCTTAGTATTTCTAATGAATCATTATCTACCACCTTCAAATAAAGTATTGCAGTTTCTCTAGACAAACATTCGATTGCAGAGAGGGGGACATATTATAATTGCAACAATTATTTTTATGTTTTATTCAACGTCTGGATGACAATATGCATCTTTATCAAGGATCTAAATTATGTACAAATATTAGCTAAAATAAATATTTTATTTCAACATATTTACCTACCTTAATATAATTTTCAATGAATATTGTAATATGTAAGTAAGAAATATACAAAATGAAATTGGTACACTTCGATGTCTGAAGAAACAGCTTGCTTACGACCAAATCTAAATAAACCTTGGAATTGTGAGCCTTTGGAAAGTTTCACTTAAATAACAAGAGGCAAGTACATATTTTAAAAATGCCAGCATGAGGATATAACAGAGATAGGAAAATACCAATCTGAGAAACGTTTACTCATTTACCTGGTTTGTGATCCATGCCTTCCTCAGAATTGATAACTACATAAGCTTTTCAGAGTTAATAATATAAAGTTGCAAATTCTAAACCACATGGTAGCAAATGACGTTTTTTTTTTAAAAAACTATAAGATGGTAAGCTTTTAAGAGTTTTAAAATTACTCAGCAGAAAAAAAACTATTTATTCTTGAAGTGCTAGTGTTGCAGATTTTATGACAAAAATGTGTTAATGAGAAGCTCCGGATAGTCATATAACTTCATCTTACATATAAGTATATACAAATGCCAAGTAGGGATTACTAATATTTCAGAACTTGTTTTGTTAGACTTTCCGAATTCATTAAATTAATTATAATCCTTGCAATATTGTTGCCGTCTAACTCTTCAACATGCGGTATGATGTTTTATGTCGAACAATAGCCGCTATATAAAAGCACTCCATGTTCACCAGGATCGCTTTTTAAAAACTTTTATATAGCCTTTCAAGTAATATTAAACACCTTGGAAACTTTTAGACCTAGGTGTCTTATAGCACTATTGCTCTCGCAGCAATATCCGTGGTGATTTTGGAATACTTGAAAGTAAATAAAAGAAAGCGATATGAAACTAAAAGTAACAAGAGACACTCTTCCGTTGTTGTTAATTTATTTATTCTTAATATAATAAATATCTAGATAAAGCTTAGAATTGAACTTAACACGCCTTTTCAAAGTAAGGGGTGTTTTTTTTCGATATATAGAACTTTATGTTGCAATAAAACAACGATGGATTATTCGATTGATATGAATTTTATTTATCCGAAAGATAATCTTGTGGCATTACATTTTAAATATGATTTATGGCATCTGGACGTCCAATTTTCGATGACTTTTCTAACATTTGTGCCCGTATATCGGCAATAACACGGCGAATGTTGTCTCCCAAATGCTCAAGCGTTTGTGGCTTATCTGCATAGACCAGTGACTTTACATAGCCCCACAGAAAGTAGTCTAGCGGTGTTAAATCATAAGATCTTGGAGGCCAATTCACAGGTCCAGAACGTGAAATTAGGCGGTCACCAAACGTGTCTTTCAATAAATCGATTGTGGCACGAGCTGTGTGACATGTTGCGCCGTCTCGTTGAAACCACATCTCCTGGACATCACGTTTATTCAATTCGGGAATGAAAGAGTTAGTAATCATAGCTCTATACCGATGACCATTGACTGTAACGTTCTGGCCATCATCGTTTTTGAAGAAGTACGGACCAATGATTCGACCAGCCCATAAAGCGCACCAAACAGTCAGTTTTTCTGGATGTAACTGTGTTTCGACATACACTTGAGGATTAGCTTCGCTCCAAATGCGGCAGTTTTGTTTGTTGACGTAGCCATTCAACCAGAAGTGCGCTTCATCGCTAATCAAAATTCGCTTATGAAAATCGGGAACAACGGCAATCTTGTTTTGGGCCCATTCGACGAATCTACGCCCTACTTGATGAATTCACGATGAATTGCCAAACCAAACTGAGAATAAATCATTTGACAGCTGTTAAATCGGTCGCCATCTTGAACAGTAAATGCCAACTTAAAGTTCTATACATCGAAAGAAAAACACCCATTACATGCCATTCCAGATTTAAAAGTTGCTGTGGACTATTTTTTTGTCGCTGTAAGATTTATAAATAAGTTGTATAACCCCAAGAATAAAAGTAAAAACAAAGCAATAAAACCTTTGAAAAAAAACAGTGAGAACAAACACCAGAGGTTTTATGGATGAAGTAATGAAAACGTTTTGGATGCAGTATTTTAAAACTGTGTGAAAAAAGTGTTTTTCATAGTTACTGAATGTCTTACAAAACTGGCAATACCATTGGTTTTCTTATAAAACTAAAAAGTGTTACAAAAGTTCGGGTGAGTTGGGTCGAAGTTACCATACTGTCCACTCCTCGGCTGCACTAGTAGGTGTCACAAGGCAGCTATTTTCCTAGGTGGTTGGGGGCCAAATGGACAATCGCCGTCGCGTTTATAACGTACATGCCTTTCCTGGCGGCCCAGTTTTATCCGAGATTTTACACCATGATTCCAGGAGGATTGGCAGTTGGTTTCGGAGGTGGACCATTATGGTGCGCCAAGTGTACCTACCTCACCATAATATCCGAAGCATACGCAAAAATCACGGGCGCAGGATCAGACATTGCAGTCACAAGATTTTTCGGAGTTTTTTTCATGTTCTATCAATTTTCCCAAGTGTGGGGAAACTTGATCAGCTCCGCAGGTAAGAGGGCATTTATCTTGGTTATAGAAATATCTAACGGTTATGGTAAATAATTTCTGATTTTCCCAAGATGAAGTTGGAGTCTTCTCTATTAATCGTGAATGATAGCTTGTGTTATCCATAAGAACTACTGAATGAGGTTGAAGAAATTTTATCACTTCATGAAAATAGTCTACAATGTCCCGTATGGGAGGACTCAAAAGTTAGTTAACCTTCTCTTAAAGCACCACTTCCAATATAAACCATTATCTGCGTCTTTCTTCTTCCTGAAGGCCGTTTATTTTACTCTACACTTTTCTGATATTTTTTACCACTTAAAACTTCCTTATATGTTTTGTAATAAGCGGCTTATAAAGTATCATTTATTGGTAATCATAAAATTTTGCTGATTCTGAGCGCTTAAATCTCCCTTTGCAGTCTTGTCAACCACAACATACTGTGTTTTCAACAGTTTACGCTTACTGGGTTTTTCATCATTGAAGACAAAAGTTATGTCACAAAGCAATCCTAAGTCTTTTGATTCCTGGAACATCCATCCATATTATATGTATATACAGATTGTTATGAAGATCACCATGTTTAATATGGATCATTATTAGTGTCTTCCCTTTTCCCGACTTCCCTTCCCTCCTTCCCTTTTCTTCTTCTTTCGTTGGCTTCACTCTACACATTTCTGAAAAAGCCTGGCAAACGCATACAATTTTTTTAGTACTGTCTTCTGGTGAAACGAACGAACCTGATACCAACACAACGTACGGTAATGCGACAACGGCATTAGAAAGAGTAATTGCACTAGATGCTTTTGAATTTTGTGGTGCCAACTTTTGCCCCGACACAGTACAAGAAGCGACCAATCCCAACTTAAAACCCCCGTCGGTCGAAAAAGTGAATACAATTACCGGAATCTATTTAGCCTGCATGATCGCAGCCTGCGTGATCGTCGCTTTTGGAGTCGACTCTCCGAAAAGGTAAGCGTAATATACCGTAATGAACTAAAATATTAATGTTTTGTACTATTGATTGTTTAAAAAAATATCCACAAGATGTTGACGGGGATATCTTTAAACATTTTTTATTGTTTTTTTTTTCTAAAAATTAAAAGGATTTATTTACTGGTACGCGATATACGAGGTTAAAAAAAGATTTAAAAGGAAAAATTTATCTTTTTTAAAATTTATCATAGCTAATTTTGATTCTAGTTGATACAATTTTACAAAAAGCATCTATTATTTACATACATTTAAATAATTATTTTCGAAAGTCAGTTTATTTTAACTATAATTATTTTTTTAGAGTCCCAGATAATTTTTTTTAGTTCTAACAATAAATATTTATCCAGAATGATATTTCCTTTTTGATTATTCTATACTTCGCTCAATGCATAAAACTTTTGGAGGTGTAATTAATAATAATTGTAATATTGTGGGTTTAATAATTCTATCATTACTTTCTATGTTTAGTTAATAAGATCTTGACATTTTTATGTACGAACGATAACTAAAATTAGAATTAAAACCCATATTAAATTTGCATCAACTTAAGACGATTGCTATTGAAGTAGCGTATTTAAGATAATTTCAAAGGAAAACATGTTTTTATAAGTATTCGACATGGTCCATCTAAGTAGTATTGTTTCTATTTCTTTACACACTATGATTTACCAAAAAGTTTGCTTAGAGAAACATGATAAAAAAGAGTTCTTTTTCAAAATCGGGACATTTGTTGAAAACTAAAAAACTAACTTTTTCTAATAAAAATTTTGATAATTTCAAAAATTTTAATTTTTTCTTAAATTGATTCCTTTATTATTATAGGGCTGTACTTTTTCTTCAACAAATTCAGTACCAATTACCAATACCAAGAGCTTCAATATTGTAATGTACTGCGCCAGTGATGGTAATGTCTGAATTTTGCATTTTCGGTGTGCACAATTAAATTAATTCCCATGATGCCATTTTCTGCTACCTGAAACTAAAGCATGTGTATGCTTTCAAAAAATTATATTAAGAGAAAAGCTTTGCCTGGTTTTGCAGAGTAATGAGTTACTCGGTATGTTTGATACGTTCAACTTCCTGTTTATTATTATCATAAAATTTTACTGAAGTGCTTAAGTACCTAAGTCGTTAACCATTTATTCGTTTAACTAGAATGATAGGACTGTCTTTATGTCTATTATTAAGCTTTGTTTTCAAAATGCAAGTGTCAAATTTAACTATTTAAAATACATATTTATTAATATCTAATTTAATTATGAAACTTTTCTTTCAGTTGTATGAAGCATCTTTTTTTATTCTTTAAAATTTAATTTAATTAAAAAAAATTTTAAAACTCATACATTTGTGCACAATTAATCTGACAGTTGTTAGAAATTTTATTTTTAGGTATATATTGAAAACAAAGCGTTCAAATGGAAGGTGAATTGATAAAAGTCCCAGAATATTCGGTTAAAAGAATTACCTACTTTTTTATGATACCCCGTAATGTGTAGCATAAAACATTACAATTACATGAGAACAAAAGATGTTCAGATTTTCAGAGTTATTTAATGATTTATGACACCTATAAAGGCACGGTGTTGCCGAAACAGCTGCTAAAAATCATTAAATAACTGTGAAAATCTGAACATTTTTTTGTTCTAATCTAATTGTGTTAAATGAATTTTTATCAAGTAAAAGCCACCAGCGGCCAACTAATAAAATATTAATTAAAAAAATATTTTTATCAGAATGTTTCTAATTTTGGAATTATTGATAGTGTTTTTTTTAATAACTTGGGAATTTCTAAAATTAATTTCTTTAATTTTAGGTACGACAAAGGCAGAAAAGGTAGTGGTAGCGGTTTATCAGGTTTAAAATTATTGGCAGTTACGATCAAACACCTTAAAAATCCATATCAGATCTTAATCCTACCAATTACAATGTTCATAGGAGCTGAACAAGCCTTTATAGCTGCCGATTTTAATTCGGTAAGTCAGGATATAATGTTTTACTGTTATCCAATATAATATTATAGTAAGTCGGATTTTTTTGCGATTTCAAATTATATACATTTGAAAAAATGTTTTTTTTACAATTTGTGTGCCATGTCAGAATCATTACACTATGGAATAAATTTATTTAAATAAATCTAATATACAAACCTTTCCTGTATGAGTTCCAATAAAACTTAAATGTTAAAAGTTAAATGTTGGCAAGTTGAATGTTTAGTTTTTTTTTAATGGTAGTGGTAATCATAGACTGGTAAAAAATTAACTAGTATAAACGCTACAGTCATTTATTTATGAATTTAAATTATTGAAAGTCGTATAAAATGTCTCTATTTCATATTTTAAATAATATGTTTATTTCTTGTTTTTGAGACCTATATAACATTAAATAACTTAAAAATATGTATTAAATTTATCATTTTTTAAAAATATGTCAATTTATTTATGACTTTATTTACTTATTGATATTATGGTCAATTTAGAAAACGAGGCAATTTTGCAAATATAGGAACATAAGGGCTTATTTGCTTTGAATCTCTAAAAACTGCAATAAAGGTGAAATATCAATCCATTTTTCTTTGAAATTTAAGATCATGAAATTATTTTGGAATTATGGGAAAAAAATACATATAAAATCTGTGAAAAAGGCTTAAAGAGAAAATAGATTTTTTTTAATATTAAAAATATTAATTTTTCAAACCTAGTAACCTAGTGAATGCCATCAACACAGCATAGTAACTGGCAAGTGCCAATCACTAACACCTAGAAATACATTAATTAATTAATTAATTAAAGAAATTCATCATCTGGAAATCATGAAATATTATAATCAATTTAAACATGAAATAGCAATTCTTTCTTAAAATTATCATAGAATTGCGATAAATGAACCTCCTAATGTCTGGGAGACATAAATGTATTTATATGCAAATATAGATGATAAGATGATGCACTGTTCCAAAAATATTTGACACTAACTCAAAATACACTAAATCATACACACACTCGTTCATCTGATTGCAATAACACAATATGATGTATAATCGTACTATATCTATTGTTTAATTTTTTTTTATCAAATTATGTTTAACATTTTTAAAGTCTTTGTTATTATGTCTCGATACAACAAATTCGGCGAATCGCTATACCATGGCCAATGACTCTGGAGTGTACTCTACTATTTTCTTCCTCGTATATTTTCAGGCTTTTGTGTCATGCGGTTGGGGAATTAGCAACATCGGCTTCGTCATGATATGTTTCGGAGTCTGCAATGGACTCGCAGCTATTGTTATCGGGAGTGTAATCAAAATTACGGGAAGGAGTCCGGTTATTTGTCTGGCTTTATCGCTACATGTCGCGCTAATCGTAACCTTGCTGATATGGAGGCCGAATTTGGAAGAGAAACTGACTTATTTTCTGATCGCCGGACTATGGGGATTCTGCGACGCGGTTTGGTTGGTTCAAATTAACTGTAAGTATACAAATACGATATACTCATTATAGGGAAAAAAAAAACGTTAAAAAGTAACATATATCCATTTGCTTGATTGTGATGTTATAGTTATAAACGAACTGATACTTTAAAATAGAAAAAAAAACTCGCCCATATTCGAAGAGACTTTGTTTCAAAAACCAAATATCCAAACCCACAAGTCAAGTCTAATTAGTAAACTTTTCACGAGTTTCGTCTGCACGGGCATAATAAGACTTATAAAAAACAATAAAAGAATAAAATACTACATATAAGTCTAGCAATGCAGGCAGATACAAAAATATCAATAAATGAATCTATCCTTACTAAAGTTGCTGCTCCATTGCTGAAACATAAGCCATTACTAGCAAAATCTGAAGAACTACCTGCAAATCTTCACATTTTAATCGAAAAATGTCTATCTGAAACATACTTCACATGTAAGGGAATAATTATGAATTATGAAACATTTTGAAAAACTATTTATAAAACCAATACTGTGAAAATGGCCAAATGGTCACATGGCCAGGATTCTGCTCAGACCTTTTTGAAATACCCAAATATAAATGTCACTGCCCAATTACACACTAACAACACTTTTACCTTTCTGGACGCTTTTGTGGCCATACAGGCCATATACTTAGGCCATTGCATATATAGAAAATCGACTCATACAGATCGATACCGTGATTGATGAACATCCACAGCAAAAACTTCATTGATTAATTCTTCAGTTTTCACAACAATATCCCTCTCTCCACTCGAATCGCTTAATCAGGAATCAACACACCGCCCAAAAGTTCTTCTTTCAAACAACTTCCATTATCAAGATATCGTACGTCCGATCCAAAAATATGCTTTACCAGAACCACTTACACAAAGTAATTCAATCATTGGCCAGTGTAGTACTCACGTATTATGTTAAAAATTAAATTTAAAAATCAAACGTGCTGAACGATTTTTAGTTTTTGGAGAGTGATAAAAAATAAATTTTATAAAACAAGGCCTAGAAATCCAAGAACTTCGCGGGGCATCCCGACAGAATCTTAACAAAAAGAAAAAATATGTTCGAATAAATGGAGGACTAATCTAACGAGATGATATTTGATAAATTGTTATTTTTACTATGAAAATTATTGTTTTATTTATTTGCTTAAATTTAATCAGTTCTAAAAATTATTATTTTCTCAAAAAAATAGCTATTCTGTTGTAACCTTATTATGTAGTTTTTTCTTTCCAAGTTATAGTGATTTATCAAATAAAAAATCAACCTATAATAATTTTGTGTAGGTATTGACTAAAATAATCAAAAATAGACGCTCCGTATTAATTAATAATATATTTAAAATCTTTTACCAACATTAAAACTTTCTTAGCCGATTATAAGATATGCTAACGAATTATCATTTGTAACAAAGTTTTAATTCTCTTAGTTCGAAGTGCGGCATTCACAAATTAAAACTTTCGTAATTTTTGACATGACTTGGTTAGACAGTGGTGATGTCTGAATGAGAAAATGTTCTTTAACTTTCGTGTTGATTGCCAAGTGGCCAAAAATGTATTATTTTAATATTTCTTATCAAAATAGCAAACGTGTCAGAACAAAAAGTAGCATTTTTCTGACGTACCTATCTCGATGTTGCATTTGATTGCTATATGGATTTTTTTTTAATGTAAATTAAGCGCTAAGGTTAACTTTTACGTTAATTATACCTTAAACGATGGATATGCTTTAGGACTACGTTAGACGGATATCATACCAACCAATTTTGACAGCGAATAAATTATCGTTTCCTTCCACCCAAAGTACAAGACTAATTATTCTACTTGCTCGTTATAGCAAAAATTTAAAAACTCAAGTAACGAAACTTATTTCATGAGATTTCTGGGTGCGCTGTATGGTTTATTGGGATATTTTGCCGATACTGGATAGGCTTGACTACCATGTACGTATATTTATCTATTGCTTTTACTATAATTTTGTGTAAGACTTGTTAAAATATAATATTATGCATAGGCAGGGCTTTCTTGTATGAATTGTCATTCTTTTGGGACACGAAACAACGAGTAAGCTACCTAAATTGACATAATATCGATTCAACGTGTATTTGATAAAAATGGACAAATTTCAGTGCCAAACTAATTTAACACCATTTGCAAACGGAATATATTTTTAGTTTTTCTATTACGAAGATACGGAGTTTCCAAATAGGTAGTTAATTTTTCGTTTATCAAAACATTATCCAAAATTTTTTGTTTTCAGCTCTCTACGGGATATTATTTCCTGGCAAGGAGGAAGCGTCTTATAGCAATTTCCGATTGTGGGAGTCTACAGGGTCCGTTATCACTTACGCCTACAGTCCTTACTTGTGCGTCTCAATTAAGTTGTATCTTCTCCTTTGCCTTTTAATAATAGGTGCGGCTGGTTATACAACGGTGGAGTACATGGAATGGAAGAGCAAACGGAAGGCGGATCGACGAAGGGAAGTTTTAGTTTAATCAGAAAAAACAAACCGTCCGCGGAATTGGCCGAATGAGTTTGATAAAATTTGCTAGTAACGATCGAGTCAGATGAATATTGCAATAAAAATACTTCGAACTTCGAATAAATTCCGTATAACAAAGAGACTTTTTTCTCACAAATACGGTCGGACACGTATTTTAAATTGGACTTTTGTTGATGTAAGATAATTTTATACAATGTGTCCCATTTTTGAGATATGACGTCGTCCACTATTTTTTAAATAGTATTCTAATTTTGTTCATGTTTAGGTGGTAAATCAAGTTGCTCTTTTCAAATTTATAATTTTTGTTCCTTTTCATTTAAAAGATGATGTTATTTTCATCTTATTGAGAGTGATAGAGAAAATCATTTTCTCAAGTTGTGGAGCTATGAAATTCTCCTTCGCCCCGGGCTTTCCTTTCCCAGCACCTTAGTCTGCAACCCTGTGTGGATGTTTATGTCATTAAGCTTTGCAGTCTTTGTCCATTCTGCATAGTACTCATTCATTACTGATTTTGTCGATCCAGGAAATCTGCAATATAGGCCTATAACACCACATCTCGAGCTCCCCGAGTTTCTTCATCGGCGTCTCTGTCCGTGAACAAGTCGAATCGGAATAAACGGACGAAGTTTATAATGCTAAAGAGTGACTTTTAAATATATGGTCATTTAAATTCGTTAAATTCGTTAAAAATAACTGATAGTTGTCCAAGTGGAATATTGTTCTTGTTGACAATTATTTGTTTCTTTTTTTGACATTAAAGTCAAGCTGAAACTCTTTACTAATGTCTGCAATACTTTTTAAAAGATATTTAACGTAAACATTGATTCATAAAAAAACATGAAATCTACGTTTTTAATTACGAAGAGTATTCTGGCAAAACTCCAAAAATGGTAGAAGCATCGCACACGTCTGGAGTGAGAACACTTTACTATATGGTGTATTTTATTATGATTTTTTCAGATTAATAGAAGAACCTTGCCTATCTTAATGTGATAGAATTATAAAATACTACGGATCATTAAATTGGGTGTACAATTTAAAGGTCGGATAAATTGCGATAATATTTCACTTTAAATTATATATTTCAGTTTTTAATACTTGGACACCTTGAATCGTTCCCAAGTTTGGACCACACAGCTAGTTTATTAGAAAAATTAAAAATTTATATTTTACAATTGTTGCCCTGTATATTATAATTATAGAGATAGGCTGATAACTCAGATATTAGTTATTCTGAGGTCAACTAAATAAAAAAAATATATTGTAATATATACTATAAAAAAACTATTTATCATGTTCCAAATAGTCAGATGAACTATAGCTGTTACCGTCCAGAGAAATAATTAGGCGTTCTGCAGTATTTTCTAGCATTTTAATATCTTCGTACGTGCTTTCTTCTATTTCATTCATATGTACGACGCACTTCCTCCATTTTTCAGTCAGTACCATTCAATGCAAAATCTACATTACGGACAGAGAAAATTTTGGAACAACCTGTCCTGTTCCTTAAATATCCTTTTTTTGAATTTTTTCATTCGCTTGTAATTTGTCGTTTAAAAATTAAGATTACCGTAATATCTTCTATTTGCACCACTGTTTAAAATTTGTCAAATATGTCCGAGCATATTTCCAAACAAACTACTTTGATTTATTGAATTTATTACATGTTAAGGGCTAAGAATATAAAGAAAATTAGTGTATGGGAAGATATATTGAATTAATAGCAATGTTCCGGATGGCCTGCTCATTATTGGATGACTGAATCCATAAAAAAAAGGCAAAGGTCGTTTGGATTTACTTTCACTGTTCATATATTATATTTTTATGCATTTTTATATTGGATGTTTGTATTTTCATTTAACAGTAACAACTTTTTTATGGATAGAAAAATTTGTACATTACGTATTTTTTAACTCTTCGGATCTTTCTAGAATCGTTTCGTAATATCTTATACTTAAGTCTTACAAATAAAAAAAAAAACTAGGCATTTGCTGAACCATCTCCAGATGGACAAGAGCTCGCAAAACACGGTATTAAACGAACAATAGAAAATTCTTAAAAAGTATTTTCATATATTGTTTACTGAATGTTGCAAATATTAAAGTATCTTTTTAATTTATTTTACTTACTATTAATGTGTTTATTGTTACTATTATTTATTTGTTTTTCTAGAAGGAATGGTTTCCCGCTAATATTTAAAAATCTACAACATTTTGAAATAGGCAATCTTATACAAATTTATTTAAGTAGGATGTTTCCATTTCAAGAAAATTACTTCGATAAATACATTTCGATCAACAAAACGATCACTTTGATATAAAATTCAAAATATGTCGGAAACGGTAAGTTATATATAGAATATGCCTAAAATTTTCATAGGAATTAAAAAATTAAACATTAAAATAAGAAAGAAAGATATGTTACATTCAATGTATGTATGTTTTTACATCGTTGTACTTGACATATTATTTATACTATATCATTTCTACCATATTAGTATTACGTCAAACTTACTTTAACAAATAAGTTCGTGACAAATTTTATGGAACTAAAAAATAATGCGGATAATTTATGTTTTGAATTCGAATAAAAAAATTGATCACCTACCTTTGGCTTTTTCCAAATAAAAACTAACCAAGAAAATATTGGTTTAACAAGAAAACTGAACTCAGGGAACACTCAATATAATATTTTTGAAATATGTGCAGAACATGATAAAATGTTTGCTGAGAAGGATTCTCAATTTTTTTAGTTTATTATTATTTTTTTATTATATCCGTAAATTCATGGTGCCAATAATGTAAAAAAACCTGAGAAGTAGAAGAAACATAAAGAAATGAAATTTATCATAAAAATGTAGCAACATGAATATGCAAACTTAATAATTGCTGAGTGCGGAATTTATTTTTCCATAAAATTGTGTGATCTGTGATATAATTTCTTGGTATTATTTAACTTTTGTCTAATTTTATGTTAGTAGAATATACTTATTGTATAAATTATATCAGTTGAATTAAATGCCATTTGCACCTACGATTTTTTGTATTTTTTTAATCCAAAAATGACGCAAACGAAATAAATATCGCTTCTTCACTAAGTGTCCAATATTTATCCATCCTATATCATCAGAGGTCGTGATAATACGGGCTGCCTGGAGACAGAGGAACATAGAGCGGGGAGGACTCGGTGGTGGAGCTCTTCCCTGGGGCGTCTGTGCGATGGCTGTTCAATACAGCAAAGAGCATCGAGCTAGGTGCTGACTGGGATCTCTAGAGGGAGGTCCGTAGACAGTACAAAAAAGAACTACGGGCATCACAGAGGAGGACCTGAAGGGGTTACTGCGACGGAGTAATGAATACCCCGGACGTGGCTAGACTCCTTAGGGTACTCGAAAGTGACCCGGCCGGAAGACTGGGAGTGGTCCGCAGGACCGGCGGTGGCTACACAGCGGGACCGGCGGACACACTACAACAGTTGCTGACCACGCATTTTCACAGGGTCCGCCGATCCGGACACAGGGGGGAATGCTGAAGCCGGGGGTCGTCTTGGATGCGACTACGCGACGGCAAGGAGGGTAGTTACCCATAGTAGGCTGAGGTGGATTATTGACAGCTTTGGCCCCTTCAAGTCGGCGGGCGGGGATGGAGTATTTCCGACTCTGCTGCAAAGGGATGAAGATCTCCTGACCAACCCGCTGATGGATCTGTTCAGAGCCTCCGAGCGAGGTGATACGTGCCAAGCCTGTGGAGACACAGCTGGGTAGTGTTCATCCCCGAAGTAGGGAAGAACGACTACACGGGCCCGAAGTCATACCCGTTTGCCTCACAAGCTTCGCGGACATCGAAGGGGACTTCAATAATACGGTCCTGTACTAGCTCTGCAGGTTGGTGGAGTGTACTGAAGCGGGGGGGTCATTGTAAAATGGATCCGCTTCATGCTAACCAACCGGAAATTTGAGGCAACACTGGGTGGGGAGCAGGTCTCTATCGGCTCATCACGGGGCTGTCCACAGCGAGGGGTCTTGTCCCCTTCATGTGGTGACTAGTGGTGAACGAGATATTGCATATTCTGAGGGAAGAACGCGGGGTCTATGCTCAAGCATATGCAGACGACCTTGTGATAATGACACAGAGGACGCTTGTGGGAAGGGTGCAGCGGCTCCTGAACAGGACATTGGCAAGATTCTCACAATGGTGCCGGGACAGCAAGTTAGCTGTCAATCCTGGTAAGGTGGAGATGGTCATCTTCACTAGGAAAAGGAAGGTGGAGCGTAACCTCAACATTTCGATGGTTGGGCTTCTTTCTGCAAGCGGAAGCGTCAAGCGTCAATGAGGCAGCGGACGCCTTAGGCAGGGTGGGCGCCTCGCATAGGCATATAGGACCAGAGCCCCGCTTGAGGATCGTCCCATGCGTGAGGCGGGGAGCTCTCAAAGCCTGGGTGAGAGAACGGGTCGGGGTGGGCTAGAGAGTAGCTCCGGGAATGAGGCAGGCGAGGCTAATGATGGATGGGCCCGCCCTCCCTCGGACCCGGGAGCTGCTTAGACTGACCAGAAGGGAGTGTAGAGCACTAATAGGGGCCTACACAGGACATTGCAGGCTTAGGAAGCATCTTTGCTTGCTAGGCATTGGAGACGAACCGGAATGCAGGTGGTCTATGGAAGGGGAGGAGACCCTGTATCATCTGCTCACCGAGTGCCCAGCTTTGACATGGGAAAGATTTGGAGTCTTCGAAACGGCCCTGATCGATCCGCACTCAGTGCACGTTATTGGGCTAAAGGAGTTGCTGACCTTCTATAGGAGGGGCGGCATTCTGGACGCCCTCTAGCGCGGTCTGGGGGCACAACGGGCCCATCTGGTGGCCTAAGTGCTTGGACGCCCTCGGGGGTGCCCCCCTTTAATACCAATACCAATCATCAGAGGTCTGACAAGAGCAAGTTATCGATTTTTATTTGCAATATAAAATTACATCAACTAAATAGTACTCTTGCTTACTTACTTACTGTTGCTCATTTGCTTACTTATACATGTATTTAATTTTTTAATTTTAAAATTTATTATAAAAGTAGGCTTGGTGATACTTGTTTTTAGGAGAAGAGCGCTTAACTTTATTTGACGTTATCTGCCTGTATATTATTGCTTATTTTCGATGTTTTTACAGCGTATTTCCCTTATTAATAAAGTTAACGCGTACCCGCTTTAGAAATTGAAGGCTATTTTTTTATAAAATGATAGATGACAAACAGGAATGTCATAGCTATCTTAGGTTTCTAGATACCGGGTAATTTTGGAAGTTCTTTTAGCATCGTAGCTCATTAGCGTTAATTAGTCGAAAAGGTGAAAATTAAATAGTATTTTTTAGGATTCAATGGCGTAATCAGTTTTCTTCTGAAACTCACAATTTTTGATATATATATATATATATTTATATATATATATATATATATATATATATATATATATATATATATATATATATATATATATATATATATATATATATATATATATATATATATATTCTCACGTATTGATTCACGGATGGAAAAATATGATGACACTATATTCCGGGATATCATCCGTTCGCTCGTTGAACTCCGACTGGAATCCTGCAAATCCTGCATCCGACTGGAATCCTGCAGACGTTTCGCCAAAATCTCACTTGGCATCTTCAATGCTCGCGCTCCGAGTGTTCGAAGTGTTTTCGGAGCGCGAGCATTGAAGATGCCAAGTGAGATTTTGGCGAAACGTCTGCAGGATTCCAGTCGGATGCAGGATTTGCAGGATTCCAGTCGGATGCAGGAATCCAGTCGGAGTTCAACGAGCGAACGGATGATATCCCGGAATATAGTGTCATATATATATATATATATATATATATATATATATATATATATATATATATATATATATATATATATATATATATATATATATATATATATATATATATATACACAAAACAGTAGTCGTGACCGGCTAGTTGAACAACAAATTTTAGTTAATTGGGGTATCGGTCCTGATGAGGGCTCAAATAAAAGGCTTTTGTGCTACACCAAGCTTTCGAAAATGTTTATTTTCTTCTTCAGGGGCTACAATATGAAAGCGGCTCTTAGTTATTTAATACTAAAGTCTTCTAGTTAAAGTACTTACTGCTACAGTGCCATTATAGGCCAACACCAAACTCATCCGGATAACAGAAAGAATCAAATACGACCGTTAATTATTATAACCGAGGGCAGCCATCTAGACGAAATTGTTGTTACATTTTATTTAAACGAATTTTACTTCAAACGCAAAACGCAAATGATGGAAAGGTTTTATTAATATGACTACCGCCAGCCGTCCAGTTTTTTTCCCTTCTTTTTTTCCTTTTGTTACCTCCTTTTTGTTTACAAGGCACCTAATGTATAGAGGCTTGGGACTATTTTTCTAAATTATAATTACATTGTGACGACACTATTATCAGCAAACGCAATTCGATTGACGGTTGGTTGTAAAGTTAAGACATTAGAGTAGATCACACTGAGGCCATCAATGTCAGATCTTTTATTGACCGATTTCGGTTCCAAGAAGATCTCCACCATTTCCAAAATTGCTCTTTTGTTGTAGTTGCTTTCTTTATGGAGAATTTTTGTTTCAACAAAGTTAACATCGTGATCCATTTGGTTAGAGTGTGTTGCTAATGAACAGGTGTTCTTATTGAGTCTGCAATCACTCTTGTGTGACGTAATTCTATCCTTAAGTACTCGCGATGTCTGTCCTATGTATACCTGATCACACTGATTACAGGGGATGCTATAAATTACTTCTGAATTCTTTTGTACCTCATCCTTATCTTTTAGTTTGCTAAAGACACTCCCCAATGTTTTTGTTTGTTTATATGCTATCTTAATATTTGTTTGTGCTCTCAGAATTTTTGTGAGTGTGGTCGTTAATTCTTTAATGTATGGCAATGAAAAATAAAAACATCTCAGATCGTCCATTTCTGGGCTATCTGAGTGGACGACCGTGTTCCGCGGGTTTGGAGCTCTTAGTGGGGTCGTGCTATATAACAATTTTTTAGTTAACCTACTTGGGTATGAGTTGTTAATCAGCATGTCGTAAAGCTTATTAAGATTTTTTTGTCTTAGTGATGGGTGAGAAATCCTCTCTATTCGTGTCTTTAATGCTATGACCAAATTTATTTTTGTTTTCGTTGTATGGTAAGAGTGGAAATTCATATATCTCCCCGAACTGGTCGGTTTTATGTACCAATCTAATATAATTTTGTTATCGTTGTTCCGGATCACTTTAGTGTCCAGAAATGGTACGCTTTTATCAATTTCCTCCTCTACTGTAAATTGTATGTGTGCATCATAGCTGTTAAACACTGTGAGAGTTTCCCTCACGCAACTTTCAGGTATGGAAGTAATTATATCATCCACATATTTTTTCAGAAATGGTAACTGAAACGACAGCTTATCTACGCACACCTCAAGTAGGTCATCCATAACGTATTGAGCTAATATTGGAGAAATGATGGCACCCATCGGTGTACCTAATTTTTGTTTGTAAAATTCATTGTTAAATCTAAAATACGTTGTATCAAATACAAACTGAAGTATCTTTAGGAAACTAATTTGTGACAAATCAGTGTGGTTTCTAATTCTGTTCCAATGTTTTTTTATACTTTTTTCTACCAAATTATATGGAATATTACTAAATAAAGAGACGACATCCAAGCTCACAAGAACATACTTATTAGGTAATTGTTTGTCATTGATAAATGAAGAAAACTCAAATGAATCACCTGTGAAATAATCATTATTCTTATTATATGCTTTGGTTAAAACCTGAGTCAACAATGAAGCCAGTTTACTGTTCGGAGCATTAATTGATGAAATTATCGGTCTTAAGGACAATTGGGGTTTATGTATTTTGGGTAAGCCATAAAATTTAGGACAAGTTTGATTATATATATTTAAAGTTTTGGCTACCTCATTTGTTAATTGTTTTTGATCTTTTAATGATTTGACAAGTTTGTTAGC